TCCTTCTCTGTTCCCTCCCTGTCCCTTCCATGTTCCCCTGAGTGTCCCCTTGGTTTCCCTACCCATCCCCTCATGTCCTTCTCTGTGTCCCCCGGGTGTCCCCTCCCTGTCTCCCAGTTTTCCTCCCCATCTCCCCGGTGTCCCCTCGGTTTCTCCTCCCTGTCCCCCCGTGTCCTTCTCTGTGTCCCCCCTGTCCTTCTCTGTGTCCCCATGTCCTTCTCTGTGTCCCCCATGTCCTTCTCTGTGTCCCCACGTCCTTCTCTGTGTCCCCATGTCCTTCTCTGTGTGTCCCCCATGTCCTTCTCTGTGTCCCCATGTCCTTCTCTGTGTCCCCCATGTCCTTCTCTGTGTGTCCCCATGTCCTTTGTGTGTCCCCATGTCCTTCTCTGTGTGTCCCCATGTCCCCAGTGTGTCCCCATGTCCTTCTCTGTGTCCCCCATGTCCTTCTCTGTGTGTCCCCCATGTCCTTCTCTGTGTGTCCCCATGTCCTTTCTGTGTGTCCCCCATGTCCTTCTCTGTGTGTCCCCATGTCCTTCTCTGTGTCCCCATGTCCTTCTCTGTGTCCCCCATGTCCTTCTCTGTTTGTCCCCCATGTCCTTCTCTGTGTCCCCATGTCCTTCTCTGTGTGTCCCCCATGTCCTTCCTGTGTGTCCCCCATGTCCTTCCTGTGTGTCCCCATGTCCTTCTCTGTGTCCCCCCGTGTCCTTCTCTGTGTCCCCCCATGTCCCCAGTGTGTCCCCCATGTCCTTCTCTGTGTGTCCCCATGTCCTTCCTGTGTGTCCCCATGTCCTTCTCTGTGTCCCCCATGTCCTTCTCTGTGTCCCCCATGTCCTTCCCTGTGTCCCCATGTCCTTCTCTGTGTTCCCATGTCCCCAGTGTGTCCCCATGTCCTTCCTGTGTGTCCCCATGTCCTTCTCTGTGTCCCCCATGTCCTTCTCTATGTCCCCCCTGTCCTTCTCTGTGTCCCCCATGTCCTTCTCTGTGTGTCCCCATGTCCTTCTCTGTGTCCCCATGTCCTTCTCTGTGTCCCCACATCCTTCTCTGTGTCCCCCATGTCCTTCTCTGTGTCCCCATGTCCTTCTCTGTGTCCCCCATGTCCTTCTCTGTGTCCCCATGTCCTTCCTGTGTGTCCCCATGTCCTTCTCTGTGTGTCCCCCATGTCCTTCCTGTGTGTCCCCATGTCCTTCTCTGTGTCCCCATGTCCTTCCTGTGTGTCCCCCATGTCCTTCTCTGTGTCCCCATGTCCTTCCTGTGTGTCCCCATGTCCTTCTCTGTGTCCCCCCGTGTCCTTCTCTGTGTCCCCCCATGTCCTTCTCTGTGTGTCCCCCATGTCCTTTCTGTGTGTCCCCATGTCCCCAGTGTGTCCCCCATGTCCTTCTCTGTGTCCCCCATGTCCTTCTCTATGTCCCCCCTGTCCTTCTCTGTGTCCCCATGTCCTTCTCTGTGTGTCCCCATGTCCTTCCTGTGTGTCCCCCATGTCCTTCCTGTGTGTCCCCATGTCCTTCCTGTGTGTCCCCCATGTCCTTTCTGTGTGTCCCCATGTCCTTCTCTGTGTCCCCATGTCCTTCTCTGTGTCCCCCATGTCCTTCTCTGTGTCCCCATGTCCTTCTCTGTGTTCCCATGTCCTTCCTGTGTGTCCCCATGTCCTTCTCTGTGTCCCCCATGTCCTTCTCTGTGTGTCCCCATGTCCTTTCTGTGTGTCCCCATGTCCTTCTCTGTGTCCCCATGTCCTTCTCTGTGTCCCCCATGTCCTTCTCTGTGTCCCCATGTCCTTCTCTGTGTTCCCATGTCCTTCCTGTGTGTCCCCATGTCCTTCTCTGTGTCCCCCATGTTCTTCTCTGTGTGTCCCCATGTCCTTCCTGTGTGTCCCCATGTCCTTCTCTGTGTCCCCCCATGTCCCCAGTGTGTCCCCAGTGTGTCCCCAGCGTGTCCCCACCAGAGCAGGGCGCGGATGTCGTCCCCGAAGCCGAAGGACAGCAGCAGATCGGCCTCGTCCAGCACCAGCAGCTCCAGCCAGGGCCGCAGTGCCAGGCTGTGCCCGGCCACGTGTGCCAGGACACGGCCAGGCGTGCCCACCACGATGTCGGGCTGCTCCATCAGCACCGGCCTGGGGACACACAGGGGTCAGTGACACCCAGGGGACATTGAGGGGACACCCAGTGCCAGGCTGTGCCCGGCCACGTGTGCCAGGACACGGCCAGGCGTGCCCACCACGATGTCGGGCTGCTCCATCAGCACCGGCCTGGGGACACACAGGGGTCACAGGGGTCAGGGACATTGAGGGGACACCCAGGGGACACCCAGTGCCAGGCTGTGCCCGGCCACGTGTGCCAGGACACAGCTGGGGTGCCCACCACGATGTCCGGCTGCTCCATCAGCACCGGCCTGGGGACACACAGGGGTCAGGGACACCCAGGGGACACCCAGGACATTGAGGGGACACCCAGGGAGGGATCAGGTCAGGGACATTGAAGGGACATTGAGGGGACACCCAGGGAAATGTCATGGACATGGAGGGGACATTCGGAAAGAGGTCAGGGACATTGAGGGGACACCCAGGGGACACCCAGGGAGGGGTCAGGGCCAGGCTGTGCCCATCCAGGTGTGCCAGGACACGTCCAGGTGTGCCCACCACAGCGCACCAGCCTGGGGACACGGTGGGCAGGTCAGGGACACCAGGGTGGCTCTGGGGACACTGGGGTGGGTCAGGGGACACCAGGGTGGGTGAGGGGACACCAGGGTGGCTCTGGGGACACTGGGGTGGGTCAGGGGACACCAGGGTGGGTGAGGGGACACCAGGGTGGCTCTGGGGACACTGGGGTGGGTCAGGGGACACCAGGATGGGTCAGGGGACACCAGGGTGGCTCTGGGGACACTGGGGTGGGTCAGGGGACACCAGGATGGGTCAGGGGACACCAGGGTGGCTCTGGGGACACCGGGGTGGGTCAGGGGACACCAGGGTGGTTTTGGGGACACCAGGGTGGCTCTGGGGACACTGGGGTGGGTCAGAGGACACCAGGATGGGTCAGGGGACACCAGGGTGGCTCTGGGGACACTGGGGTGGGTCAGGGGACACCAGGATGGGTCAGGGGACACCAGGATGGGTCAGGGGACACCAGGGTGGCTCTGGGGACACCAGGGGGGGCTCGGGGGGTGACTGACCGCTGCTCGGCGAGGTCCGAGTGCCCGCAGAGCTCGGCCACGCGCAGCTGGCGGGCGCAGAAGGCGGCCAGGCGGCGCAGGGTGTGCCCGACCTGCCGTGCCAGCTCCGCCGAGGGCACCAGCACCAGCGCCCGCACGGCCTGCGGCACGGCTGGGGACGCCTGGGGACACGTGGGGGGGACAGCGGGGTCACTGGGGGCACACAGGGGACAGCGGGGTCAGCCCCAGTGCCCCCAGTACACCCCGGTGCCTCCCAGTACATCCCAGTGCCCACATCCCCGCCTGTGCCCCCAACCCCACAGCGCCTCCCAGTGCCCCCAGTATCCCCAGTACCTCCAGATCCCCAGCAGCTTGTGCAGCACAGGCAGTCCCAGTTCCCCCCAGTATTCCCAGTTCCCCCCAGTGCTCCCCAGTATTCCCAGTATCCCCAGTTCCCCCAGTACCTCCTTGATCCCCAGCAGTTTGTGCAGCACGGGCAACCCCACACTCCCAGTGCTCCCAGTATCCCCAGTTCCCCCAGTACACCCAGTACCTCTTTGGTGCTCAGCAGCTTGTGCAGCACGGGCAATTCCAGTATCCCCAGTTCCCCCAGTTTCCCCAGTACCTCTTTGATGCCCAGCAGTTTGTGCAGTCCCAGTTCTCCCCAGTTCCCCCCAGTTCTCCCCAGTCCCCCCAGTTTCCCCAGTACCTCTTTGATCCCCAGCAGTTTGTGCAGCACGGGCAACCCCACACTCCCAGTGCTCCCAGTATCCCCAGTTCCCCCCAGTATCCCCAGTTCCCCCAGTACCTCTTTGATGCTCAGCAGTTTCTGCAGCACGGGCAGTCCGTACGCTCCCGTTTTCCCTGACCCGGTCCTGGCCCGGGCCAGCAGGTCCCGGCCCTCCATGGCCAGCGGGATGGCGCGGGCCTGGATGGCCGTGGGCACTGCCCAGCCCAGCTCCGCCACCGCCTGCGGGCACAGGGCTCGGTGTCACCTCGGGGACACCACAATGGGGACAGTCCCAGTGCCACCCCAGTGCCACCCTCTCCCCATGGGGACAATCCTCAGTGTCCCCCCACCCCAGGAGACTCCGGTGTCCCCTCAGGCCCCCCACCCCTGAAGGGACCCCAATGTCCCCGTGCCCTCAGAGGGTCCCCAAAGCGACTCCACAACCGCCGCGCCACCCCGGTGTCCCCATCCCTTCCGCCCCCAAACCCTCCCCTCAGAGGGATCCCTTACCCCTCCCGGCACCCTGGCGATCGCTGCCCCCCCAACCCCCCGCTATCCCCGGCCAAACTCCCCCCCGGTCCCGTTGCGCTCACCCTCAGCAGCCGCCCGTCCAGCCCCATGTGCTCGAACCCCTTCGCCTCCATCTCTGCCGCCATCTTGGCCCCGCCGCGCACGCACTTCCGGTCTCACGGCCCCGCCCACCGACACTTCCGGTGCGCGCGCAGAGCGCCGCCATGGCGGCTGAGGGCGCCCCCCGGCGGTGGAGGACCGAGAGCATCCGACACCCCAAAATCCGCCCCGGGACCGATTTTTGGGGTGAAAACGGCCGGGTTTGAGCAGCAGCTGAATGCCTGCAGCGCCACGACCCCCTTCCCACCCCAAAACGCACCGACAACTCTTGGTGGAACAAAAAAACCTTTATTTCCCCCCCCCCCAAAAAAACACCTTGGGGGGTGGCGCCTTTCTCTGCTCCCTCCATGGCAGGCAAGGCACCCCAAAATCCGCAGGGAGCACCCCAGGGTGGGTGGGATGGGTTTGGGGTCCCAGAAGGGATCCAGGATCCCTGCCTAGGGTGTGGGTGGGTTTTGGGGTGTTTTTTGGGGTAGGGGTGGGTTTTGGGGTGCCCCCTGGTTGTGGGTGGGTTTTGGGGTGCCCCCCGAGGGGGTTTTGGGGGGCTAGACGAGTTTCTTGGCCTCGAAGAAGCTCTTGAGGTGCCGCATCTGCCAGAGGCCGGTGAGGATGAGGATGACGGTCTGGGCGATGGACCACCAGAGCACGCGCTGGTTGGTGCTCTCGCTCGTCATGCGGAACCGCTCCTCCCGGTACTGAGGGGAAAATCCCAAAGATTCACCCCAAAATCCCACAAATCCACACCAAAACCCCATAAATCCACACCAAAACCCCATAAATCCACCCCACAGCTGCAGGTTCACCCCAAAATCCTCCCCAAAACCCCACAGATTGGCTGTGGCTGGTTGGTGCTCTCGCTCGTCATGCGGAACCGCTCCTCCCGGTACTGAGGGGAAAATCCCAAAGATTCACCCCAAAATCCCACAAATCCACACCAAAACCCCATGAATCCACACCAAAATCCCATAATTTCACCCCAAAGCTGCAGGTTCACCCCAAAACCCCAAAAATCCACCCCAGAACCCCACAGATTGGCCGGTTGGTGCTCTTGCTGGTCATGCAGAACCTCTCCTCACAGTACTGAGGGTAAAACCCCCAAACCCCACAAATTCACCCTAAAACCCCACGGATTCACACCAAAACCCCAAAAATTCATCTCAAAACCCCACAGATTGACCTCAAACCCCACAGATTGACCCCAAATCCCCGTGGATTGACTCCAAATCCCCATGGATTCACGTCAAACCCCATGGATTCACCCCAAAACCCCTCAGACTGACCCCAAAACTCCATGAATTCAACCCAAAAGCCCATAAACCCACCCAACCCCCCCTGGTGCCCCCGAAGCCCGCGGTTTGACCCCGAAAGGTGCCCACCTACCCTCTGGTAGTTCTGCTCCTTCTGGATCTGCTCCACCTGGTCGAGCAGCTGGCGCGCGCGGAGCTGCAGCTCCGTCAGCTTGTCCTTGGCAGCGATCTCGGGGTAGTTGTTGGTGTGCTCGCCCACCTGGATGTCCAGGTGCACCCGCTGCGGGACAGGGCACGGGCTGGCACCATGCCTGGCACCAACCATGGCACCAAACATAGCCCCAACTATGGCGCCAGTAATGGCACCAATATGGCACCAATCATGGCTTCAGCCATGGCACCAAATATGGTCCAACCATGGCACCAATGATGGCACCAACCATGAGTAGTTGTTGGTGTGCTCGCCCACCTGGATGTCCAGGTGCACCCGCTGCGGGACAGGGCACGGGCTGGCACCGCGGCTGGCACCAGGGGCACCAACCACAGCTCCAAACATGGCACCAACCACGGCGCCAGTAATGCCACCAATATGGCACCAATCATGGCTTCAGCCATGGCACCAAACATGGTCCAACCATGGCACCAAACGTGGTCCAACCATGGCACCAATGATGGCACCAACCATGAGTAGTTGTTGGTGTGCTCGCCCACCTGGATGTCCGGGTGCACCCGCTGCGGGACAGGGCACGGGCTGGCACCGGGGGGCACCAACCATGGCATTAATCATGGCTCAAATCAACCATGGCTCCAACCATAGCAACAACCATGACTCCAGTAATGGCACCAACCATGGTGTCAACCATGGCACCAACCACGGCTCCCAAACATGGCATCGGTAATGGCACCAAACATGGCACCAATCATGGCTCCAGCCATGGATCCAACCATGTAATGGCACCAACCATGGCTCCAACCATGGCTCCCAAACATGCCAAACACGGCATCGGTAATGGCACCAAACATGGCACCAATCATGGCTCCAGCCATGGATTCAACCATGGCATCAATCATGGCACCGACCACGGCTCCCAGACATGGCATTGATAATGGGACGAAACCAACCACGGCTCCAACAATGGATCCAACCACGGTGTCAAACATGGCTCTAACCATCTAATGGCACCAGTAATGCCACCAACCAAGGCACCAATCATGGCACCAACCATGGCTCCAACCACGGCTCCCAAACATGGCAAACATGCCATCGGTAACGGCACCAAACATGGCAGCAATCATGGCTCCAACCATGGCACCAAGCATGACTCCAGTAATGGCATCAACCATGGTCCAAGCATGGCACCAACCAAGGCCACCAACCATGGCTGCAACCGTGGCTCCAACCATGGCACCAGTAATGGCATCAACCATGGCTTCAACCATGGTGTCAACCATGAATCCATCCATGGCACCAATCATGGCTCCAACCATGGCACCAGCAATGGCACTATCAATGGCACAGCCATGGGTAGGGCACAGGGCTGTCACCAGCGCTGGCACAGCCACGAGAAGGGCATGGGGCTCCCCCAGGGCTGTGCCAGGGCATCATTACCAGCTTGCCCCCGGCGAACAGCGCCATGCGGGTGGAACTGGAGTGCAGCGTGGGCAGGGGCTGTGGGCACGGGGCTCAGGGGCTATGGGCACAGGGCTGTGCCAGGCTGGCACAGGGCATCATTACCAGCTTGCCCCCAGCGAACAGCGCCATGCGGGTGGAGTTGGAGTGCAGGCAGATCTGGTGCTCGCCCGGCGTGTGCGACGTGAACGTGAAGCGCCCCTCGGAGCCGTACTGCCGCGACATCACCACCTGTGCCAACGGGGACAGCGTCAGGGTCATGGGCACGGCCACTGGCATCCCATGGCGACAGTGTCAGTGCCACTGGCATCCCATGGGGACACTGTCACTGCCCTGGGCACTGGGGCACAGCCCGGGGATTGCCCAAATCCCACCCAGGGACCCCTCCCTCTGCCCAGGGGGGTGCCCAAACCCCTCCCAGGAGCCCTTCCCCATGCCCAGGGAATGCCCAGGGACCCCTCCCCGTGCCCACGAGGTGCCCAAGCCCCCCTCACCTTTCCGTCGGGGTCCTTGACCTCCACGTGCATGCCCAGCCCGGGGGTGGAGGGCAGGAAGGACTCGGACTGTTTGTCCCACAGCTGCGTCCGGTAATTGCCTGGCACGGAGCGGGCACAGGGCTCGGAGCCGACCCCCGTGCCCGGGGGGCTCTGACCCACCCCGAGCCCTCAGTGGTTCCTCCCGCTCCTCCCCCCCGCCATTCCCGGTGGTCTCTCCCGTTCCCCCCCGCCATTCTCGGTGGTCTCTCCCGTTCCCCCCCGCCATTCCCGGTGGTCTCTCCTGTTCCCCCCTCACGCCCCCGCCATTCCCGGTGCTCCCCGCCGCCGCCCGCACCGATGACCATGGTCTCGTCGGGGATCTCCTCGATGAAGCAGCGCTTCTCGGTCTCTCCGATGTGGAAGTAGAGCCCGTGCGCGCCCCAGCCCAGCAGCAGCACCGCGGCCATCGCCGCCCTCATCGCATCCCACAGAGCCGCCATGATTCCTCCCGCCCGCCCGCCGGGGGCGCTCTGCGCATGCGCCAGTGCATCACCCCGCTCACCTCGCATGCGCCGCACCCTCAGCGCAAGCGCAGTATCGCCCTCAGCGCCCAGCGAGAGCGTCGCGGCTTCGCGCCTCGCTCTGCGCATGCGCAAATCCCACGGCCACTCAGCGCTCCCCACGCCGCCCGTGCGCTCCCCGCCGCTCCCGCAGGGCGCATGCGCCTCCGCCGCCGCGGTGGCGCAGCGGGGAGGGCGCCGCTCTCTCACTTCTAAGACCGCGAGTTCGAGCCCCATCACAGCCATCGCGGGGGTCGCCGTGTCCCCACGCGTGTCGCGTTGTCATCTCCCCCCTCGCCATGTGTCCCCTCGTTTGTCACCCCGTGGAGATGCTGAGCAATGGCGGGGGCGGGGCGCGCCCTTCTCAGCAGTGTGGCAACACCGGCAACTTTCTTCCTTCCTTCCTCCCTTCCTCTCCGCCGCCCGCAGCGCCCGGAGCCGGGGGTCCCACTGGAACCGGGGGTAGCACCGGAGCCGGGGGTGTCACAGCGGAGGCAGGGGCGTCACAGGAGCCGGGGGTCCCAGAGGAGCCGGGGTCGCACCGGAGCCGGGGGTCCCAGCGTAACAGGGGGTCCTACAGGAACCGGGGGTCCTACAAGAACCGGGGGTCTCACCGGAGCCGCGGTCGCACCGGAGCCGGGGTCCCAGCAGAACCGGGGGTCCCATGGGTGAGCGCTGCCCGGGGACCCCGCGCACGGCCCGGAGGGGACGCGGAGCGCCCGGCACGGCCGGTGCCACCGGGAGGGGTCCCCGAGGCTCGGGGGGCGCGGGCAGGGGGCTCGGAGGGCTCCACGTGGCCGCCCTCAGCCTCGCCCTCCTCTTCCTCCGCGCAGAGGCCGAAGGCTTCGCCCTCTGCCACGCGCCCGCGCTGCAGACCAAGGTGTTCCAGTACCGGTAAGGGACGGCCCGGGGGCGGCGGGGACAGCGGGGCTGGCACGGGACGGGACCGGGGTGGCACCGAGCGGTGGCACCGCTGTCCCCGCTTTGCCCGCCAGGCTGTGGGACGTGAACCAGCGCTCGCTGTACCTGCGCGATGACCAGCTGGTGGCCGGGCACCTGCAGGGCGCCAACGCCGCGCTGGAAGGTGACACGGGGACGCGCTGGGGTGGGGACGCGCGCGGGGACACGCGCTGAGGGTCCCCGTGTCACCCACCCGCCCACCCACCCGCAGAGAAAGTGTTCTGGGTGCCCAACCGAGCCCTGGAGCCCGCGCGGCTGCCGGTGATCCTCGGGATCCGGAGCGGCTCCCGCTGCCTCCGCACCGAGCGCGGCCCCGCCGGAGAGCCCCGGCTGCGGCTGCAGGTGCGACAGCGGGGGGACAGGGAGGGGACAGCGGGGGGACAGCGGGGACAGCGGGGGGACAGCGGGGATATAGCGGGGATAGTGAGGGGACAGCGAGGGGACAGGGAGGGACAGCGGGGTGACAGCAAGGGGACAGTGCGGGGGAGAGTGGTAATAGCGAGGGGACAGCGGGGATAGCGACGGGAACAGGGTGGGGATAGTGGGGGGCACCGGGGACAGCACAGGGGACAGCAGGGACAGCGAGGGGACAGCGGGGGTTTAACGGGGATAGGGCGGGGACAACGTGGGGACAGGGACGGGCATGCCAAGGGGACGGGGACATCACAAGAATGGGGATGGGGACACGGTGGGAATGGGGACACCAGAGGCATGGTGACATGGAAGGGATGAGGACATCACGGGGATGGGGATGCCAAGAGAGTGGTGACATCAAGGGGTTGGGGACACCTAAAGAGATGGGGACACCGTGGGGGTGGTGATGAGGATGGGGACACCAAAGTTTTAGGGATGGGACGCCATGGGGAGGGGACACCTGGGGACAAGGGGGCTACAGGGATGGGACACCGCTGGGTGGGGACACCGGGACCGCGGGGATGGGGACACGGGGACGGGACATTGTGGGATGGGGACATTACAGGCAGTGCCCACACCGCACCACACCCCTGGCACACGGTGCCCGCGGTGCCCGGGCGCTGTCCCCGCGGGTGACACGGCGCTGTCACCGCAGGACGTGGACATCCGGGAGCTGCCCCGCGCCGGTGACAGCGCGGCCGCCTTCACCTTCTTCCGCTCCTACCGGGACGGGCTGTGGCGCTTCGAGTCGGCCGCGCACCCCGGCTGGTTCCTGTGCACGTCCCCGCGCGGCCACCAGCCCCTGGCGCTCTGTCGCCACCGCGATGTCACCTCCAACCTGCTCGACTTCTACTTCCAGCTCTGCTGAGCGCGCCCGGGCCCCGCGCGGGGACAGCGGAGACCCGGGGTGGTGGCATCTTCCTGGGGAGGGTGGCATCACCCCTAAAACGGTGACATCTTCCTGGGGAGGGTGGCATCACCCCTAGAACGGTGACATCTTCCTGGGGAGGGTGGCATCACCCCCAGGACGGTGACATCTTCCTGGGGAGGGTGGCATCACCCCTAAAACGGTGACATCCCCCTGGAGACGGTGGCATCTCCCCCAGGACGGTGGCATCCCCCTGGAGACGGTGGCATCACCCCTAGAACGGTGACATCTTCCTGGGGAGGGTGGCATCTCCCCCAGGGTGGTGACATCCCTCTGGGGAAGGTGGCATTCCCCTCAGCATGGTGACATCTTCCTCGGGAGGGTGGCATCACCTCCAGAGTGGTGACATCCCCCTGGGGAGGTGACATCCCCCCTGAGGATGGTGACATCCTCACCCCTTAGAGAGAGTGGCATCCTCACCCAGCGAGGGTGACATCCTGGCTCCTCGGTGACATCTTCCCCAGGACGGTGACATCCATCCTGGACCGTGCCACCCCCCCTTGCTCCGGGGCGTGCTGTCCCCTTGGGGACAGCGACATCCGTCCCCCGGTGTGGTGCCACTCCCTCGGGGCGGTGCCATCCCCCTGGGGACAGCGACATCGCCTTGGGGACAGCGCCATCCTCCCCGAGCTCCGGTGCGCGAATAAAGAGATGCCGATGCCAGCGGTGCCCGAGTGTGGGTGGCACACGGGTGGTGGCACACGGGTGGTGGCACACGGGTGGTGGCACACGGGTGGCAGGGCGGGGCTGGTGGCCCCGCTGGATGTGTCACCGCCGCGGAGTGGCCGCTCTTGCGCCACCCGAGCGATGGGGACAGAACGGGACGTCCCCAACGGGCGGGGGTGGCGCGGCCCCTTCCCGGATCCCGCGGGGACACCACGACACGGGGGACAGGGGGGACGGCGCGGGGACAGGGGGCACACGGGGTGTGGGGACAGCGAGCGGGGGACAGTATGGACAGGGAAGGTGGGACTTTGGGGACAGGGAATGGGGGACAACAGGGACAGGGGATGTGGCATTTTGGGGACAGGTCACCACGGGGACAGGGCACACGGGGATGTGGGGACAGGGAATGGGGGACAACAGGGAGAAGGGACACGGGATTTTGGGGACAGGACACAGGGACACCGTGGGGACAAGGGAGGTGGCATTTTGGGGACAGGTCACCAAGGGGACAGGGCACATGGGATCATGGGGCTAGGGAATGGGGGACAATAGGGACAGGGAAGGTGGCATTTTGGGGACAGGTCAGCAAGGGGACAGGATACGTGGGATCATGGGGACAAGGCACACAAGACCTAGGGGACAGGAGATGTGGGACCTTGGGGACAGGGCACACAGGGCCTTGGGGACAAGGGACCACAGGGATGGGACACTGGGGACACGTGGGAGTTTGGGGACAGTGCTCACAGCTCCTTGGGGACAGCAGTCATGGTGACAATGTGGGCAATGTGATGACACCATGGCACAGGGGATGGCACAGGGGACATCCCCGCCGTGGTGGCCGTGAGCAGCACTGGGGACGCTGGCAGCAGGTGGCATTTCACCATCGCTCGGTGTCATTGTCACTGTCACCTCCCCTGCCAATTACCGGGGCGGGCACTGTCCCCGCCCTGCCCGGCTCGATAAAGCCACTGTCACCTGCGGGGACACGGCCCAGAGGACACGGGACAGGATCCCGGGAGGTGACACATCCACAGGTGCTGCTCCGGGGACGGGGACACGCTCGGGGACAATCCTGCTGGCACCTGTGCCACCTGTGCCACCTGTGCCACCTGTGCCACCTGTGCCACCATCTCCGCAGGCCCAGCCATGTCACGCGCATCCAGAGCTGCCCTCAGGTGAGCGGGGACATTGTGGGGACAGTGTGGGGATGGCATAGGGACATCGTGGGGACAAGGCAGGGACAGCGCTGTCCCCTGCCTCGCGCCCCGGCAGTGTCACCTCCCCGGTGTCACCTGCCCTGACCCCTCTGTCCCCACAGAAGGACACCCCGGGGACACCCTCGGGGGGTCATGGCGGACAGCGGGGACACGGCCGAGGGCGTCACCGACCCCGACATGGTGGCCTTGTTCGACGACTTCCTGGGGAAAGGTGGGTGCAGGTGTCCCCATGTCCCTGTCCTTGTGTCCCTGTCCTCGTCCCCATGTCTCCATGTCCCTGTGATGTCCTCATGTGCCACACCCTCTGGGTGTCCCCTCCGTGTCCCCACATCCCCATTGCCCTGTGATGTCCCCATGTCCTGGGTCCCTTGTCCCCATGTCCCACGCCCCTGTGTCCCCATGTCCCCACATCCCCATGCCCCCATGTCCTTGTGGTGCCCCCCCCCGTGTTCCCATGTCCCACCTGCCCGTCCCCGTGTCCCCATGTCCCCATGTGTCCACCTGTCTATCCCATGTCCCTGCGATGTCCCAATGTCCCTGTCTGTCCCCACGTCCCACATCCCCACTTGTCCGTCCCCGTGTCCCATGTCCTTACCCGTCCGTCCCCATGTCCCACCTGTCCTGGTGTCCCTGTGACCCCATGCCCCCATATCCCACCTGTCTGTCCTCGTGTCCCCGTGTCCCACGTCCCCATGTCCATCCCCGTGTCCCCATGTCCCACCTGTCCATCCCCATGTCCCTCTCTGTCCCCATGTCCCCATGTCCCACATCTCCACTTGTCCATCCCTGTGTCCCATGTCCTTACCCGTTCATCCCCATGTCCCACCTGTCTGTCCTTGTGTCCCACCTGTCTGTCCCCATGTCCCATGTCCTTACTCGTCCACCCCTGTGTCTCACCTGTCCATCCTGCTGTCCCCACATCCCTGTGTCCCACCTGTCCGTCCCCGTGTCCCATGTCCTTACCTGTCCATCCCGCTGTCCCCGTGTCCCACCTGTCTGTCCCCGTGTCCCCATGTCCCACGTCCTTACCCATCCATCCCTGTGTCCCACCTGTCCGTCCCTGTGTCCCATGTCCTTACCTGTCCATCCCGCTGTCCCCGTGTCCCACCTGTCTGTCGCCGTGTCCCCAGAGGTGACGGTGCCCATCGGGGAGGTGACACCGGCGTCACGGCCCGAGCCCCGGCCGTACCACTACGTGCTGCGGGACACGGAGCAGCAGGGGCTGTGCCTGCGCCACGGACACCTGGTGGCCACCAGCCTGCAGGGGGCCAACGCCGCCCTGGAAGGTGGGTGACACCCGCGGGGTGACAATTCGTGGGTGACACCCGGGGGGTGACAATCTGTGGGTGACACTGCATGGGTGACACTGCCAATGGGTGACAATCCATGAGTGACCCTCTGGTGGCCACCAGCCTGCAGGGGGCCAACGCCGCGCTGGAAGGTGGGTGACACCTGGGGACAGCGGTGACACTTCAGGGGTAACACCCGGGGGGTGACAATCCATGGGTGACACCTGGGGGGACAGGATGACACTGCATGGGTGACACTTCCAATGGGTGACAATCCATGGGTGACAATCCATGGGTGACACCCTGGGGGTGACAATCCCTAAGTGAAAATCCACGGGTGACACCTGGGGGGACAGGGGTGACACTGCATGGGTGAACACTGCCAATGGGTGACAATCCATGAGTGTCACCTGGGGGGGAAACAGGGGTGACAATCTATGGGTGACACCTGGGGGGACAGGGGTGACAGTCCATGGGTGACACTCTGGGGTGACAGGGGTGACAATCTGTGGGTGACACCCTGGGGGTGACAAGGGTGACACTCCATGGGCGACGCTCCATCACTGTCCCTCTGGGGTGACAAGGGTGACACTCCATGGGTGACACCCTGGGGGTGACAAGGGTGACAATCCATGGGTGACACCCTGGGGACACAGCGGTGACACCCCGTGTCCCACAGAGCCCATCAGCGTTGTCCCCAACCGGCACCTGGAGCGCCGGCGCAGTCCCCTCATCGTGGGCATCCGCGGTGGCACCCGCGCCCTGTGCTGTGGCACCGGCCCCGAGCCCCGGCTGAGCCTGGAGGTGACACGGGGGGACACGGGGGTGGCACAGGGGACACGGGGGTGGCACAGAGGCTGGGGGTGACGGGGGGTGACTCAATGTGGGGCTGTGGGGACACAAAGGTGGCACAGGCCAAGGTGGGACAGCTCGAGATGGGTCAAGGCAAGTTGGGCAACCCAAGGTTGGTCGACACAAGTTGGGTCAACCCAAGGTGGTCAGTCTTAGGTGGGTCAACTCAAGGTGGGTCAATCCAAGATGGTCAATCAAGGTGGGTCAGTCAAGGTGGACAATCCAAGGTGGTCAGTCTTAGGTGGGTCAACTCAAGGTGGGTCAATCCAAGGTGGATCAACTCAAGGTGGGTCAATCCAAGGTGGGTCAATCCAAGATGGTCAATCTTAGGTAGGTCAACTCAAGGTGGGTCAGTCAAGGTGGACAATCCAAGGTGGTCAGTCTTAGGTGGGTCAATCCAAGGTGGGAACATCCAGAGGTGGTTGGGACCCAAAGTTGGGTCAACCAAGGTGGGTCAGCCTGAGGTGGATCAACCCAAGGTGGGTCAGCTCAATTTGGGCCAGTCCAGGTGGGGCAATCAAGGTGGGTCAGTCCAAGGTGGGTCAGTCCAAGGTGGGGCAATCAGGGTAGGTCAGCTGGAGCTGGATCAACTCAAGGTGGGTCAGCTCAAAGTGGGGACACCCTGGGCTGGTGGGGACCCAAAGATGGCTCAGCTCAAGGTGGGTGAGCCAAGGTGAGGTGAGGGCACCCAGAGATGGGTCAGCCCAAGGTGGGTCAAACCAAGGTGGAGAACCCAAGATGGACATCCTGGGAAGGGCCATCCCAAGGTGTGGTGGGCACCCAGGGCTAGGTCAGCCCAAGGTGGGGCACCCGGGAGTGGCATCACCCCAAAGCGATGCCAACCTGGAGGCGGGGTCACCAGGAAGTGGGGATTCCCCAGGGCGGGGTGATGATGGCATCACCTGGGGGTGTGGTCACCTGGGGGTGTGGTCCTGATGTTGTTGTCATCTGGAGATGGGGGTTCCTTGAGGTGGGGTCACCTGGGCATGGGGACACCTGCAGATGGGGTCACTTGGAGGGGACTTGGCTGGACATGGGGTGACCAGGAGATGGGATCAGGGTGTGTTCCTTGAGGTGGGGTTACCTGGAGATGAGATCAGTGTGGGTTCCTTGAGGTGGGGTAACCTGGAGGTGAGATCACCTGGAAATTGGGTCAGTGTGGGTTCCTTGAGGTGGTGTCACCTGGACATGGGGACACCTGGACATGGGGTTACCTTGAGTTGAGATCATCTGGAGATGGTGCCACCTGCAGATGGATGTTCCTTGAGGTGGTGTCACCTGGGGATGAGGTCACCTGGAGATGGGATCAGTGTGGGTTCCTTGAGGTGGGGCCACCTGGAGTAGGGGTCACCTGGAGATGGGGACACTTAGAGATGGGGTCACCAGGACATGGGCTCACCTGGAGTTGAGGTCACCTTGAGTTGAGATCACCTGGAGATGGTGCCACCTGCAGATGGATGTTCCTCGAGGTGGTGCCACCTGGGGATGGGGTCACCTGGACATGGGGTGTGTGTGGGTTCCTCGAGGTGGTGCCACCTGCAGATGGTCGTTCCCCGAGGTGACGCCACCGTGCCGCTGCTGTCACCATTCGGTGCCACCGTTTTGTGTCCCCTGCCCGGCAGGACGTGGGGCTGCTGGACCTGTTCTCGGGGGACAAGGACAGGGCCCTGCCCTTCACCTTCTACAAGACCTTCGGGGGCTCCACGCACACCTTCGAGGCCGCCGCCTTCCCCGGGCTCTTCCTCAGCACGGCCCCGGAGGAGCCGCTGGGCCTGGCCCCGGGCGCCACGGCCTTCTACCTGCGCCGCAAGTGACACCTGGGGACATCCGGGATTGGGGACACCCACAGTGCCACCACTGCCTTCTACCTGCGCCGCAAGTGACACCTGGGGACATCCCTGGCACTGGGGACATGCATGGTGCCACCACCGCCTTCTACCTGCGCCGCAAGTGACACCTGGGGACATCCGGGATTGGGGACATCCACGGTGGGACATTCATCACTGCCACCGCCTTCTACCTGCGCCGCAAGTGACACCTGGGCACATCCGCTGTGGGACATCCACGGTGGGGACATCTGGGATTGGGGACATCCCTGGTGCCACCACTGCCTTCTACACCGCAGGACATCCAGGACTGGGGACATCCCCGATGTCACCACCACCTTCTACCTGCACCACAAGTGACACCTGGGGACATCCATGCCGGGGACGTCCATCATGGGGACATCCATGGTGCCACCACTGCCTTCTACCTGTGGCACAAGTGACACCAGGGGACATCCATGGTGGGGACATCCACCGTGGGATCAGAACTCTCTTTTAATGGTCAGGACCCTCTTTTTGGGGTCAGGACTCTTTTTTGGGGGTCAGGAGCCTCCATTTGGGGTTAGAACCCCCCTTTTGGGGTCAGGACCCTGCTTTTGGGGTAAGAACCTTTTTTTTTTGGTGTCAGAACGATTTGGGAGAGAACCAAACCCGCCGGGAACTGCCCCAAAACCGCCCTAAAACCCGCCCCAAACTGGGCAGGAACCGCCCCAAAACCCGCCCCAAATCAAACGGGAACCGCCCCAAAACAAACGGAAACTGCCCCAAAACTGCCGGAACCGCCCCAAAACTGCCGGGAACTGCCCCAAAATCCGCCCCAAACCGGGCAGGAACCGCCCCAAAATCCGCCCCAAATCAAACAGGAACCGCCCCCAAAACTGCCGGAACCGCCCCCAAAACTGCCGGGAACAGCCCCAAAACAAACGGGAACTGTCCCAAAACCCGCCCCAAAACTGCAGAGAATGCCCCCAAAACCACGGAGAATCCCCCAAAACTGCTGGGAATTGCCCCAAAACTGATGAGAAGCCCCAAAGTGACCCAAACCTGAGGGGAATTGCCCCAAAACCTCCAGGACCACCCCAAAACCGCCAGGAATTGCCCCCAAACCACCCCAAACCTGCCCCAGAATGGGGTGGGCTGATCCCAAAACGGGGGAATGAGGGATTAAAAATTTGGGATGAAAATCTGGGAATTTGGGGCTGATCCCAAAACTGGTTTTCAAAATTTGGGATAAAATAACGGGAAAATGGGGCTGAATTAATTATTGGGGCATTGGGTTGAAAATTTGGGATGAAAATTTTGGAATTTGGGGCTCAGCCACCCCTGGGAATATCCCCCCACTCCTAGATGTGGGATTCAGCATCTCCTTCCCAAATATCCCCCCCAAAAAACCCCAAACCACGAATTTTCTGTAAAAAAAAAATTGTTTTTTTACATCTAAACAACTAAATAATTTACATCTAAACCTTAAGTAATTCTAACCCAGGTTTTTAGGATGGGAAAAAAATAAATAAAAACCCCAAGACCAGGCGATGACAAGAACATCTTTATAGGAATCAAAATTAATTTAAACCAGGCGAAATAAATTAAAACATTAAATATTAACTTTCAGTGCAACATATACAGAAGACATGAGAGTAACCATGACTTAAAAAAAACCCCAAAAAACCCCAAAACAACCCCAAAAACAACCCCAAAACAGAGGGAAAAGCTCTGGGTTGGTTACTAAGGGGGAATTAAGGCTGTGCCTCCAGCCCGAGGAGGTTTCCTGGGATTTAAATTCATTTATTATTAATAAAAAGCTGGGATTTGTCCCCCAAAAATGAGCCGGGCTTGGGTGTTTTTCTTTCTTTTCTGTAGAAAAATAAATCCCCATCCTGGCGGGGGTTTGGGTTAAAATCCCAAATATTTGGGTTTGAAAAGTCCCGGGAAAACGACCCGAGAGCCGAGGGAGACCCCGGGGGAAACGGCGGGAAAAGGGGAAAACGCCCCAAAAAGGATCCGAGGGGGGGAGGGGACGGTCCTGGGGCGTCCCCAGGTGTCCCCAGGTGGTCCCGGGTCTGTCACACACCTGTGGGGGTGGAATGGCAGCGGTTACGCACCACGGTGTCACCTGTGTCCCCAGGTGTCCTCCACCTGTCCCAGGTGTCCCACGGATGTCCCCAGGTGTCCCCTCCCCTGTCCCAAGTGACCCTAAGTGTCCCTGGTGTCCTCCACCTGTCCCAGGTGTCTCCTCCCCTGTCCCAGGTGTCCCTAGGTGTCCCATGGATGTCCCCAGGTGTCCCCTCACCTGTCCCCTATGTCCCCTTACCTGTCCCAAGTGTCCCCTGTGTCCCAGGTGTCCCCTCCCCTGTCCCAGGTGTCCCCAGGTGTCCCACGTGTCTCCTAGATGTCCCCAGGGTGTCCCAATGTGTCCCCAGGTGTCCCATGGATGTCCCCTGTGTCCCCAAGTGTCCCTCCCCTGTCCCAGGTGTCCCATGGATGTCCCCTCACCTGTCCCTTATATCCCCTTACCTGTCCCAAGTGTCCCCTGTGTCCCAGGTGTTCCCTCCCCTGTCCCAAGTGTCCTAGGTGTCCCCTGTGTCCCCACATGTCCCTCACCTGTCCCAGGTGTCCCCTCACCCATCTCCTGTGTCCCATGGATGTCCCCAGGTGTCCCTTGTGTCCCCCGGTGTCCCTTGTGTCCCCAGGTGTGCCATAGATGTCCCCAGATGCCCCCTCACCTGTCCCAAGTGTCCCCTGTGTCTCAGGTGTCCCTTTCCCTGTCCCAGGTGTCCCCAGGCGTCCCATGGATGTCCCCAGGTGTCCCGTGGATGTCCCCAGGTGTCCCTCACCTGTCTCAGGTGTCCCCAGCTGTCCCAGGTGTCCCCTGTGTCCCCAAGTGTCCCTCCCCTGTTCCAAGTGCCCCCTGTGTCCCTAGGTGTCCCTCCCCTGTCCCAGGTGTCCCTCACCTGTCTCGCCGTGGCAGCAGGACGCTCCCCCCTTGAGGAGCCCCCTTGGTTTCTCCTGTCACCCCCAGGTGTCCCAGGTGTCCCCAGGTGTCCCAATGTGTCCCAGGGTATCCCATGGATGTCCCCAGGTGTCCCCAGGTGTCCCCAGGTGCCCCAGGTGTCCCCAGGTGTCCCTCACCTGTCTCGCCGTGGCAGCAGGACGCTCCCCCCTTGAGGAGCCCCCTTGGTTTCTCCTGTCACCCCCAGGTGTCCCAGGTGTCCCCAGGTGTCCCAATGTGTCCCAGGGTATCCCATGGATGTCCCCAGGTGTCCCCAGGTGTCCCTCACCTGTCTCGCCGTGGCAGCAGGACGCTCCCCCCTTGAGGAGCCCCCCCGGTTTCTCGGGGCCGGCTCCGGGCTCGCGGCACCAACCGGGCCAGGGCCAGGGCCAGGGCCAGGGCCAGGGCCAGGGCCAGCGCTTCCGCAGGCGGCAGCAGCTGGGGACAGCAATGGGGACATGAGGACATGGGGACAGCAATGGGGACAGCAATGGGGACATGAGGACATGGGGACAGCAATGGGGACAGCAATGGGGACAGCAATGGGGACAGCAATGGGGACATGAGGACATGGGGACAACAATGGGGACAGCGATGGGACATGGGGACAGCAACAGGGACAGCAATGGGGACATGAGGACATGGGGACAGCAACAGGGACAGTGATGGGACATGGGGACAGCAATGGGGACAGCAACGGGGACATGAGGACATGGGGACAGCAACGGGGACAGCAATGGGGACATGAGGACATGGGGACAGCGATGGGACATGGGGACAGGGAATGGGGACGGGGCCAGCGCTTCCGCAGGCGGCAGCAGCTGGGGACAGTGATGGGACATGGGGACAGCAACAGGGACATGGAGACAGGGAATGGGGACAGCAACAGGGACAGCAATGGGACATGGGGACAGCAACGGGGACAGCAATGGGACACGGGGACAGGGAATGGGGACAGGGACAGTGCTTCCACAGGCGGCAGCAGCTGGGGACAGCAATGGGGACAGCGATGGGACAGTGACAGGGGGTCGGGGACAGGGACATGGGGAATGGGGACAGGAGGACATAGGGAATGGGGACAATGACACAGACATGGAGACATGGGGACAGGGACAGGGACATGGGGACATAGGGAATGGAGGCGGGGACAAGGATAGGACACGGGGACATGGGGAATGGGGACACGGATGGGGCCACAGGAAATGGGAATGGGGACCGGGGAATGGAGACACAGGGAATGGAGACACAGGGACATGGGGACAGGGACATGGGGAATGGGGACAGGGGACGTGGGGACACAGGAAATGGGGACAGAAACCAGGCTGGAGATGGGGCTGGGGACAGGGACAGGGTCAGGGATAGGGAATGGGAACAAGGATGGAGACAGGGAATGGGGACACAGATGGGGACACAGGAAATGGGAATGGGGACAGGGGACATGGGGACACAGGGATGGGGACAGGGAATGGGGACAGGGAATGGGTTGGAGATGGGGTCAGGGACAGGGTCAGGGATGGGGACAAGGAATGGGGACAGGGACACAGGGATGGGGACAGGGAATGGGGACGGGGACAGGGTTGGAGATGGGGTTGGGGACAGGGAATGGGGACCTGGACAGGTTGGGGTCCCCTGTCCCGGGCTGTCCCCAGGGATGCCCCGGTGGCACTCACTGGACCAGGACGCAGACGGTGACGAGCAGGGCCGAGGCCACCACGGCCACCACGAGCAGGGCAGTGATGGTCTGCTTCTTCTGGGTGGCTGCCACCACGGCCAGCAGGTCAGCGTGCTCACAGCGCGTCCCCACGTACCCCGAGTGACACCTGGGGACACACAGGGACACAGGACAGGTCAGAGTGTCCCCACGTACCCCGAGTGACACCTGGGGACACACAGGGACACAGGACAGGTCAGCGTGTCCCCGTGTGTACCCCGAGTGACACCTGGGGACACACAGGGACACAGGGCAGGTCAGAGTGTCCCCACGTACCCCGAGTGACAC